AGGGCTGCCATACCAAAGTGGCAGAGACTAGGTGGCTTACACAACAGAAATTAATTTTCTTACAGTTCTGGAAACTGCAAGTTCTAGGTCAAGGTATCAGCAGGTTTGATTTCATATGGGGTCTTTCTTTTCAGCTTTCAGATAACCACTTTCTGGCTGTGTTCTCACTGATCTTTCCTCTGTGAAAACACACCCTGGTGTCTGTTTCTCTCTCTCTCTCTCCCTCTCTCTCTCTCTCTCTCTTTCTCATTAGAAGGACAGAAGGACCACAGTCATTTTGGGTGAGGGCCCATCCTAATGACCTCAATTTAATCCCCTCCTTAAAGACTTTCTGTTCCAGCAAGATTCATGTGCTGAAGTATTGGAGGTTGGTGCTTCAACATATGATTTTAGACTATAATACAACCCAAGAGACTCTGATGTTAGTACAATGGGGCTAATGAACTTTTTAAACTATGTCCCAGGTACTTACAACTGGTTTAGGTGGTCAGAGTCTACACTTTGAGATGTTTTTGACATTTGCTTTGACTCCATGTCTTATATCATCTTGATTCTTCCACACCACATATTCGCAATAAATTGATGCATATAGAAGATTCTCCCTCAGCAGTCAATCCCTATGACCCTTCATAAATTCCTATGTCTTTGTCTCACATATTTCCTTTCTATTTCAATGACTTTGAACATGAGGTTGCTTTGAATCTTGCCTATTGGACTTGTATGACAACGACTTAGATGCATTGTACTTAAGGATTTTGACTCATATCCATCCTATTAGTTTCTTCCACGTCCAGGATAGGATTTGCTGCTCAAGAATTAATTTTCAAAATGCACCTGCTCACCTAACATCACACGGGTTTGAGACCTTGACGTCTGAAACTCAGTGCTTTATGGGGTCTCAGGACTGCTCCTTAGGACTCAGACAGGTGGGAAGCCAGGCCATGACTTGGAGATGCCACTCTGGAGAAAAGAAAGGAGTCTGTTGGCTGATGTAAGAGTTCTGTTTTCAGATTTATATAGTCTATTTATACCTGGGCCTTCATCCTTAGAATCACCTTTTTCAGTCCGAATGTTGTCCCTTTCACACAGTCCAAGATTTTTATGTAAACCCAAGTTCTACTTTAGAAAACTGTTTAGGTTGGGCGGGGAGGCGAGGACACAGCGACGTGCCTTTGTCCTTGAGATTCTGCGTTCTCCGAAGGGGTGGGCGGGGAGGAGAGCAACAGAAGCCCGTCGGGGGCCAGGCGTCGTGCTGGGGCCCGTGCTCTCCCATTTAGTTCTCACGACAGGAGCGAAACGGGAGGCTCTTTTCACCTGTATAGCCGCAGCCCCTGGGATTCAAACCCCGGTGTGTAGGTGGTCCTTTTCCAAATCTGCTGCATCATTTTTTAAGGTATCTGAACCTCAGAGATATTTCAAGTTAGTCTCTGTCATTCGAACATAGGGTACATAAGTATTTTATAGTCTGACAATTCTAACTCAACTCTTTGTGGGTTTGCTACTGTTGCTTATTCATTCTGTTGATTTTTTTTAATGTCCTCATTGTCCGTGCCTGTCTGGTTATATTTGATTGCATGCTGATAACTGCACTTAAAATATTTGTAATAACAAAGAGAGGTTTAGAATATAGGTATATCTCTTCATAAGTAATTTAAACATATATCTTTCTGGAACTTAAGGTACTACCAGCCTGGGATCACCTCAATCAAAAATCCAAATTTGTTGGTTTTTGAATCACCAGGTGACCTGAGACTTTCCAATGACTGGTTTTCTTCTGGCTCACCCTTCTGTTAGTTTAGTCTTTGGGGATCTTCGTTTTCTGTGTGTGAAGTCTCATACTAGGTGTCTGACATTGTCTGGCTTTGTGCTTTGACACCAATCCTCACCCCAGAAAAGAGAAAATGGTTCTGATTTCCTAAGATTAGAAAATCGCATCAGGCAAAAGTAGCTGCCAGGTCTGCCAATCTCAATGTTGCTTTCTTCTTTGGCGTGGTAATTCCCTACTAAACTGTCAGCTTTCCATTGTTTTTGAAGGTTTGTTTTTAAAATTTTGTACACCATGTTTGCTTGTCTTCATGAGAAGGGTTTTCTTGAATGATGCAGCCTGCTGTTGCCTGAACCCCCAAAGAGAGAGGCTGTTATTTTTTCTTCTCACTCATTCCTGGGCCTTTCTCTCCTTTCTCTTCTGTGAGGTCTGCTGCCTTTTCCATGGCCCTGAACCTGTCCACTGGTTCATTTGATAACTTCACAGTTATGCCTAGGAGAGAAGCCAATGGCTGTTTTGTGTTCAGAACCCCTCCGACCCTGCCGTGTGTGCCTCATTCTTTGGTTGATGCTAATCTGTATCCTTCCTTGTAATAAACCATAACTGTGGGAATAACCGGTTTCTGTGAGTTCCGTGGGTCCTTCTAGCAAGCTAGTGAAACTGAGGGTGGTTTGGGGAACCCTTTGAACTATAATTGGAGTCAAAAATTAGGGCAGTCTCATGGAGGACCGTGCCCTGTGCCGCCACCTTGTCAATCTGGCTAGCGAGGGGCAGTATTTACACGTGCGCATGCATGTGTGTGTTTAGTACAACACTGGCGTAGGGTTCTCATCATTAAACCAGCCTGACCATGGCTATAGCACAGGAGCAAGGCTCAGACGCTTGTAGCTTCGCACTTTCAGGTTCACCGCGCCGTGAGGCCCTTCCCCCGGCCTTTCAGCCCCAGACCACCTCTGGCTCTGCGGTGAGTGGCGTTTTCATCCCAGTGCGCCTCATATCCATCTCCAGGTCCTGCAAATCTGTGTTTATTTTGCTTCCAACTCTGGTTAAAGCAAGAAAGTTAACCCGCCGAAGTGGCTTCTCCCGACTAAGACTTCGAACCTCATAAATCACAGTGACAAGAAATGTGATGACGGTCTCTTTCTGTTCCTGAGATTGGAAGAGGAGAGGCGTGCCGGCTCCAGCCTGGGTTTGTAATTTTTCCCAGTGGGGGCACGGGGCGAAGGAATCCAGCAGGCCGGCTCCTCAGCCCTGACTAAGAAATTCCCTCCTTGAATTGTTTCTGCGCTGAAAGCGCAGAGACATCCTTGAGTGTCACTCGGGTGCTTTAGTACCTGCTGTGGAACTCCTGGCCGTTAACAATGAAATCGCCGAGATTTCCTTTCTGTCCCCTTCCAAGTGGGCGGGGCATCATTTTTATCCCCTGATTTCGCACATGAATCAATCCTTTTGTGTATGATCAGTGGGACTGCGCGTGTTTTCAGAAGCTGCCTGGCTTTCTACCTGGCAGGCGTGCTTGTTGGGCAGCGGTTCTGCAAACAAGAGAGAAAAATATATAGATCCTCCCATGTCCCCAGGTTGAAATACAAGGCAGTCGCAGGAGGTAGTTGTTTTCTGGCCTGATATTTGCCTTTGATTGTTTGAATTCTTACAGAGATACCACCCAGAACTTGTTAGATTTTTAAAATATGTCGTTTTTAAAAACTGGTATTTTGCAGATTGTGGTTGACAAAGAGGAGAGGAACACATAGGGCAATGGGGACAAGTAGGAGAAGGGATATCTAATGCATGTTTTAATTCCTGCAAAGCTCGGTGTGCTTGCATGTTACATATTTCATTTTCCAGCAATACTTTATTTTAAAAGAGCCAATACAGCTTGGCTTAATTTCTGCCCGGAGGCCGTTCATAAGGCCCTTTCTATGGTAAGCACTTTTCACGTCTCCCTGCACAAAGGTAGAGGGGTTATGCATCAATTAACCTGGCAGGAACACTTTGTCCATGGGATATCCACAGTTGAAAAGAAAATTCCAAGAAAACTTGGAGACCAGCACATATGTAGTTATATATGGATGTAGTGCTTACAAGAGACCTGAAAAATATAGATTTACAGTAAAGAAAGAATCAGAAGGTAGATCTTGCTTTGCTGAAGCTAGAAGAGTCACTTTGGTGGAAAGCAACCCCCGGCACAATTAAAATTTGACTTCTTACATGGATGTGCATTTTCACCCTATTTATTTTAGAATATGTCTATCTTATAAAGTAAACCTTCCTTTTAAATTTAATTTTTGAATTGAGTGATGGATTTGAGTACACCCTATAGATATGGTTTATTGTTTTTATTTTTAAAAAGAAAATACTCAATGCAAAGATCTACACAACCTCAGAGTTTTGCCAACCTAAAAATACTCATAAAAAATGAGCTCACTTCTGTGACCAAAGTGATGGACCCAGTGTAAAACTTACTTAGAGAATTTTCTGCATTTTCATGTCTTAATATGGAGCCCATAGTTGTGTTCTGGGGCATGTACGATTGAAGGTACATAGAATGCTGTGTTTGTGCATGTGCATATTCAGGGGGTGATCCAATGCTTCGGGCCTTTGAAGGGGACTGACGCGCCACTCTGCATTTAGGTGTGGGGCACAGGGGATGCCATAGCATTTTCGTGCCCCTCTGCCTGGGCTATAGGTACAGCCAGTGCTGTGTGCTGACTCTTTTCACTGTGGAGATTCTATGTCCAGGATTATAAGACATGTCTCCATCTGGTCATGGGGATACAAGGTTAAGTGCTGGGGCTTCCTCAGCCATGTTATCATCACCTCTTTCAATTTACAAGTGGACTTTCTGGGTTACTTACAAGTCGCACTTAGATGCTGGGCAGTGTCTTTACTGCATATAATGCTAGGCACTAGGAAGAAACTGTGTGTTTCTCTGTATCTGAAAAGTAGCTTATTGAAAAGATGTGTATTGCGTAAATGAATGAATGAATACAAGTGCCTTAATGAATAAATACCAAATAATTACAATAATATGTCATGTACCTTCTTCAGAGAAGTCCCAGCTTGATTAAAACAGAAAATTGGAAAAGGGGTTGAGAGGCTTTTCTCTGTTCCCATTGTGACCTCCTGCCCAAGGAGGATTCCCACACTGGTCATCAGGGATTTTGTCTGTGTTCTCATAAAACCGTCCCAGCCACGGTCATTGTTCTTGAATTTTCTTTTTCTTTTGTAATTTCAGCTATCCACCTTGATAAAGTCGATCTTAAACTCTACTGTGCATGGGCTCTTCTGGATAACTTTGAGTGGAGGCAGGGGTACAGCCTGCGGTTCGGTTTCTTCCACGTCGATTTTGAAGATCCAGAGAGGCGCAGAGTCCCTTATACATCAGCCAAGGAGTATGCCAAGGTCATTCGAAACAATGGCTTAGAGGGACATCCATAGACAAAATCGCTGGGCAAGTATCACCTGGAAAAGAGGCCTTCGGGTTTGGAAAGGAAATCCGCTTTGGTGATCCCTCAGCCCAGCTCAAGTTGCCTTTGTAACAAGCAGGTCCTCCCAGCCGCTCCGCGATTGTGAAGTCTGGATATGCAATGCCAGGGGACGTATTTAATGATGGCCTCTCCTCCACGTCCATTGAGATCAGTGAGGCTTTTAGAAAATAGAATAGAAAACCACTGAAATTGATTTTTATATTAAGAAATCAAATAGACTTAGAAACCTCTATTTAAATTCTTTAAATTTTTCTACAAAAAGTAATGCAAAATTTATTATGATTTGCAACTCTAATAGCAGAGCACTTATTTTAAGAATACTTGTTTTTGCCCTGGCCAGTGTGGCTCAGTGGATTGAGTGCCAGACTGCAAAGCAATGGATTGCTGGTTCAATTCCCAGGCATGACACATGCCTAGGTTGTGGGCCAGGTCTCCATTAGGGGGCGCAGGAGCAGCAACCACGCATTGATGTTTCTTTTCTTTCTCCCTACATTCCCCTCTCTCTAAAAATAAATAAAATCTTTAAAAAATGAAGAATACTTGTTTTTACAAGCCTATTTTTTTCTGGTTACATAAGCTATTTTTCTTATTAGATTCATAATTTTTCTAATGTTTAATCTAATGTACAAAATAACAATTAAAAGTTAGTCACATTATATAGTTTTGCGTACTATATAATTGATAACCAAAGGAATCAATTGATAACCTTTTTAATAAAATGGACGTGTCAATGAATTATGCATATATTTTATCTATTCATGAACAAGTACATCCTTCTCTTGCCTGATGAACTTTGGCAAATAATATATTAATAAAAGAAATTAGGCTACAAATGCCAGAAACAATATGAGTGTTGACATTTAGCAGAAACTGGATTCCTACTCTATAGTGACACCAAAAGAAAAGCAACATAATTAGCAGGGCAGGGTCTTTACTTTTGGATACTTTAAGAAATTTTAAGATCCAAACGAACGTTGATAACACCCATGAACACGTGCATGAATTGCTTGACCAGGAGCTTAAGCAGAGGGGGAACCATTCATTGTGGTGGTAATGGAAAAGTATGATATATCTATGGGGTTGAGTGTAGTTCAAGTTTTTCTGAGCTTGTTTAGTAATCGATGCCGGGCTCTGTCTGGACTCCACTCCAGCAAACTCACAAATGTGGAATTTGGACTCTCACATCTTTATTTGAGTAGTATTTACTAAACATTCATCGGGCTATCAGGCTTAAAACTAAGGAAATTATTATCACCCCATTTTGCAGATTGAGAAACCGGGGATGCACTGATGAGCATCTTCCTGATGTCACATTGGTGCGTGTTTACGGGACCCAGCACTTTTTTGCATCAGCTCAGCTCTCTGTCCTGTACACTGTGGGCTGGGAACTGAGGAAGATTGCTCTTCATCTTTTGAATAGAGAAAAAAAAAGAAGCAAAGTTGTGTAGTTGTCTTATGCAGGGGGAGATGGGTGGGTAAGGTTGTTTTCTGTATTCTCAGTCTGCTTGCTTGAGAAAACTGCTCACAAGCTTTTGGCTCTCAGCAGACACTATGTCATTTTTTTAAAAAAACTGTGGTCAATTTCTGGATCATTGTCATGTTCATAATTGGGGGATTATATACAGCAAAGAACACTGTCTCAGTAACTTTGGACAGAGTAAGAAAGAAATGTTATAGTAGTTCAATAAACATGGATGCACTGGGGAAAATTATATGAAGATTTAAATGGTATACATAGGAAATTCTATTACATCTTTTATGCTGGTTTGTTATTTTTATTGTTCAATGAGACATTATCTCACAATTTGTGTTCATTTAAAAAGCACATTTCCAAATCTTATTTCATTCCTCTCCTATCCAGCCTGTCTTTTTCATTTTTACCATGTATCTTATTTACAATTTATGTGCCCTCTTATATTATCTTGCAAGACAACTGAGTTTTCCTTTTAATTAGGATGTTGCTTTGAATATTAGTTATCCTACAGGGCATATTTACAAGTTTTACAACAATACAAATGATCACTGTATTCTGGATCCCAAAGCCAGAAAATTAATATTCGCACTGTAAATAAAAGCATCTGTCACATTAGGTCCACCAGGTGAAATAAATGCAATAGCTGCAGCTCCCAAGCTTCCTCCCAACGTGGTGGCCTTCTGCAGCTCTGGGCCGGCTTTTAAAAGCCAGCGTTTTATCCCAGAGATGGATCAAACCAACAGTGCCTCCCTAATTAGTCCTGTAAATTAGGATTGCCATGAGGTTAAGCTGAAGAAAAAAACAAAATCCACCGGCCCCAAACCTAACAGCCCCTGTAGTGTTTTAATTAATGTTATTTTTAATTGCTTATATTAGCATTTGAAAACGAGATTGATTGGCTTTTGCCTGTCAGGGAGACAGAAACTTGGATTCTTTAAGTGGAAAAACAGGAGTTGTTAATTATACTTAAAAAATCCATAGATACTGTACTTAGATGTCTTGAAGGTCATCTGAGGCTTGTAAAACACATGTTTTATGTCTGTTTTATCTAAGGAGAAACTCAGATATCACAGTGATGGATTGGATCTCCTTGTATTTCTTTCTTTCTACATTCCTTCCTTGCCGGGTTTTTTTTTTTTTTTTTTTTTTTAAGGGAACGTGAATACATATTATTAACATCTGTGGAGCACTCTTAAATAATTTTTAAATAATTTTTATTTTAGAGCCGGTCATTTCTGAATTGCTAAAAACTTGCAGAAGATAACAGTAGCCCATTTTCATTTTGGGATGTAGAGCTTTAGTTCTATAATTCCCACAACCACCACCAGAAAGTGTCCACCTAAGCCCTTTAGTGAATGAGAAGGCATGAGTTCTCATTAAGAAACCCATAAACTAAGAAAGCTGGCAACCTTGGTATTTGGCAGTAGAGTTCCAGTCAGGCTTTTGTGCTCAGGGAATTTGTGTTTGGCCCGTAGCTTTTAATTATTTTTATGAACGAGGGAATAATGAATACATTTGTAATATATTGAAAAAATTCCCCAACACTGACTGACCAAAAAGTAGATTTATATGATAATCCTTAAACACCAATTCTATGGCTCAGTGCTAAGCAGAAAGAAAATAAAATACTGAGCTTCATTACCGAGAGAGCAGAATAAATCAAAGCTGATGGAATTAATACTGTTTAATTACTAGCAATACACCTTACCCAGAGAATGCATATTCATCACTGATCACAATATTTTAGGCTACAGTTGTCCTGGGAGGGATATAGTACTGAGCACAAAGCATGATGAGCCTTAAAGAATGAAATTAGAAGACATTTTGACGTAAAGACACTTTGTGATGGCCTTTAGAATTATGGCAGCATGAAGGAGAATCAACCTTCTTAATTATGGCAGTAGGGAAGCCGGGAAGATGTGGAGAAGCTCTGCGTTAGGGTCACGGGGAGAGACTCCCAAAGGCGAGAATTAATGTGCTGCTTGTAGAAGTAGCCAGGGTCTGTTGTCTCAGGTGTTCTTGGTGTCTGCAAGTGTCACCTGACCCATGACTGGCTACATTTGACCTTGCTTGAGTGGTTATTGGTATCCAATATAAGGCAAATAAATATAATGTGATCATTATGAATGCAGGCTCTGGAGCCAGTTCACCTGTATTTAAATCTTGGCTCTCCCATTTAAGCAATTTACTGAACTTCCCTGCGCCTCAGTTTTCTCTCTGTAAAACGGGCTACTCATAAGGCTGTTGTGAGAGTTAAATAAGATGATGGTTGCTACATGCTTACAACAGTTCCTGGAACATGGCAAGGGTACAATTAGTGTAAGCCATTATTTTCAAATGTCAGACTTGTCCAAGGTGATCTGAAAGTAATTCATCAATTACAGTTCAGATTGTTCCTACCTCCGTTCCTGCAGAGGTGTCTGCTCTGTTAAGTTGCAATTCACTGTCTCTCCAATTTTCTCTCTAATTTTTGTGGCAGCTGTTTTCCCTGGGACATCAAGTCTCTGACTGATCTAAGAAGAGTTGTGAATAATCAGTTTGTTCAGCTTTTACTCGTTAGGGAGCAATGACTTCCAAGCTCCTTTATACGAGTATATTGGACCAGAAAAGGGAAGTCACTATTATTTTTATAATAATTGGGATTGAAGTTTTCCAGCAGCCTAATCAGTGCATATTTATTAAACTAAGCTGTGCATTACATTGTACAGGTGCAATCCTGCAGACAAGACAGTTCTTGTCCAGAGAAGTTCAGGTCTGTTGAGGAACTAAGATAGAGACGCGAAGCAGTAGACAATGCCAGGTGAATCTTCCATGCACTAACCAGAGGGAGAGCTCTCTGCTTGCTGGGGTGGGCAGATAAAGTCTTAATGGGCAAGGAAAAACCATGCATATTCATATAAAGAATACTATGATAATATAAACAATATAAGTAAAAATATGGAAGTGGAAAGCATAAGGCCTGCTGAGCTGAAGGGCAGTTCATCTTAGCAAAGAGCGTGTACAGGTTTTCACTGGATTATGGAGATTCTCTGATTTCCTTCAAAGATGTTTGGCTTTATCTTACCTCAAAGTGGAAGATTTCTGAGTAGCATGTCCATGTCCCAAAGCAACCTGTGGAAAGATGGAAAAGAGAGCAGGATGGAGGAACCAGATTGAAAGCTTCTTGTAGCAGAATACGTGTAGTAGATGTGGTAAGGGTCCTATTTAAGGTGGGGAGTACATGTATGAAGAGTTAAAGTGTAATTAATGCCTGAAAAGTACACAGGAACCTAACTGCAACACTGTTTATTAGGTTGGATCCTAGAACAACAATAACAAAAAGGACATCAGAAGAAAACTGGGAACTACAAATAGTCTTTAGTTTAATTGATAATGCTTTACCTATCTTAACTTCTTAGCTTTGATAAATAAATATACGATGGTTATGTAAGATGTTTTAGGGGAAACTGGATGAAGAATATATGAAATGCTTTATTTTTTTCTTTGCAATTCATTTGTAAATCTAAAATTATCCCCTACCCAAAGTTTTAAAAATGTACATGGGAAGAGTTAA